TTCTACTTATGGTATTTCTCTATACTTCTTTGGTTATTTGGAAACCACTTAGTCAAAGTAATAAAAATGTTAATAGTTCAAGTTCCCCTATAACTTACAATAGTAATGCTTAGTTTTCTTGCCAGCTCTTCATCACTTTGCAGTTGCTCCTCCAGCTCTCTTTGCCTCTCTTCTGTTCGCCTTTTCTCTGCCTCCTCCTCCTCTGCCAGCAGCCGCTGGATGTAGTCCTCACTGACTCGGTGTTCCTGCTCCGCGGTGGCTCTTCGCTCTGCCTCCAACTGAGAAATGATTAACACACATCACCCCTTTTCTGAAATTTTTTTAGTATACCTGCAATATTTCATAGTAAGCGGACTTAAATTTTTCTTTAAAGGAACAAATGAGCAAACTATGATATCTGGAGGTAAATTCCAACAGAAAAATTCAAGAAAACTCCTTGAAGAGGCTGTGCCCGATCAGTCTAACTTAACTTTGTTCATATCCCCATGCCTCCTCTGCTTAATCCTTACCACATTTGGTTCTTTCGCTAATGCAGTGCCATGTTGACTGACTCGGGCCCGAGTTCAGGGACAGAAGCCTAGCAAAAAGGGATGGAATAATAAATCAATGAGAGTAACTGGAGTCCGGGTCGCCACTCTCCTCACACTGTGGGCATGAGTGGAACAGATGTTGAAGAGACTTCACGACCCGCCATCATAATAACCACCTCTGACTTACTGCTGAGGGAGGTAAGGCATGAAAAAGAAACAGCTTTCTCAGGTAAGTGAAAGAAGTAGGATTCCACTGAGATATTCACATTATACTACCTGAAAACCAGCACAAGAACTACGCTGGCAATAAAAAGAATCTGGGTCAGGAATAAGCCCTTGAGACAGTTAAGAGCACGAGCCATGAAGGAAAGCTTACTCAAGAAATTTTGTGTTTCCTCACTGATAAAGGAAAGCCATAGGACGAGACCGTCAGTCCTCTTCTCCCTGCTGTGTATGCAATCTGAAGTGGTCAACTGGCAAAGAAATGGAACGAGAACTGTGCATGAAACGAACCCTTACACTCACACCTTTGGAAGGCCAGTTGCTTACAACTTTCCAGTTAGTTGAGGTAGTTTGAGTTAGGTTTTATTTATGGTCAAAAATGTCTTAATAAGGCCTATTCTCTCTATATTGCTATGTACATGAAATTTTGCTTTAAAGACCTTTACTTAGCACCATGCTTAGACAATATAGGAGCCCTGGTACAATACTGGTTAAGAGTTAAGCTGCTGACTGCAAGGTCAACGGTTTGAAACCATCAGCTGGCTCTGAGGGAGCAAGATGGGGCTTTCTACTCAAATAAAGTTATAGTCTCAAAAACTTATAGTGCCAGTTCTATACTGTCCTGGAGGGTCGCTATGAGTTGGCATTGACTTGATGGCAGTGAGTTTGGCTTTGGTTTTAGACAATATGCTGACAATTATGAATTAAAATAATGACTTACTTTTTATTAGTTCCAGATTGGCACAGTTCAACACAGTAGTCACTAGCTACCTGTGGCAATTAGGCACTTGAAATGTGGCTTATCTGAAGTGAGATTATGTCTGTAGGGTAAAAAGATTTTAAAGCCTTAATAAGAAAAATAATGTCTCTCAATTTTATCTGTAACTTTCTATGTCAAGGAGGTTTAAAAAAACTCTTGGAAAAATGGGAGTTAAAAATACAATGAAATATGAAGGGATCAGGTATCAAGCATCAAGGAACAAGAATCACATCATTGTGAATGAGGGGGAGGAGTACAAAGTGGGGACCCAAAGGCCATCTGTGGGCAACTGGACATTCCCTTACATTACGGTCTCAGGGAGGAGACAAGCCAGTCAGGGGACAGTGTAGCAACGATGAAACATACAACTTTCCTGTAGTTCTTAAATGCTTCCTCCCCCAAACTATCATGATCCCATTCTAACTTACAAATCCAGCTGGGCCAGCGGATGTTCACTGGTACAGATAGGAACTGGAAGCACAGGGAATCCAGGGCGGATGATCCCTTCAGGTCCAGTGGTGAGAGGGGTGATTATCAGAAGGGTGGAGGGAAGGTGGGGTAGAAAAGGGGAAC